TGTCCGATCAGGACGCAGCTTCACTTAGGGAGGCTGTCCATGAAAGGGTTAAACCACCATTTTACTTTCCAGTTTTGGTATAAAATGCTAAATATTAAATAATTATTCTTGTTAATAGAAAATTATTTCAAACACAAGTTTTTATAATTAAAAACAACAACAAAATGTATAATTTTCACTCCAAACAACAAACCACCTGAGTTATGAGTCTGAGGGTTAGGGTGTGTCGTTGTTGTTGTTGTTGTTGTGACTCAGTCTGGCGCTAGTAAACTACTGATCCAAACCCGTGAGTTTATCCTTCTCTGGAACTCTTTTCTCTCTTTACTGGTTACCGAGTCAGACGGTATAGATCCTCTCAGACTTCCTGCGGTTCTTGCTGATCCGTTCTGGACTGTGTGTCTCTGAACAACCAGAAACTGATCTTTGGGTCCGGATCAAAGGTTCTGGTTCAGGACGGTGAGTAAAACCCGCCTCAGTCAGCTCTAGATTCAACCCAGTTACAGGTTGCGGGTTTGAATCCTGCCCTTTATAGATGAGCAGGTGTTGGTGGGCTAGGGTTAGGCAGGTACGGCAGCCTGGCCTCTGTCAGTGTGACCCAGGACAGCTGTAGCTACATCATAGCTAATCATCACCAGCGTGTGTTGGGTATTTTTATAATTGTACCTTTTTGAGGCCTAAAAGATGCCCATTACACATCATGAATCTCTGTGTAAGGTTGAGCAAGGATGTTAATGGAGAAAACTCTGTACCTCTGTAACTTGAGAAGGTCCGCCTTCTCCCCCATCAATTTGGTGAATAAAGCCCCTGAAGAACTGGGAGCACACGGGGAGTGACATGGGGAAGCCTCGGAGGAGGTTTCTCTGCGTTAACTCTCCGTGTTCTGGAGACTCAGGGTAAAATGTCTTCCTTGTTGTCATGTGTGTTATTACAGGTTCCAGGGTTATGGAGATTAAATATTACCTAACATTCTAGTCTCCTGATGGAGACCACGGGTATGCAGAGCTGGTGAGGTAAAGGCTGAGGCTGGAGCAGAGTGGGGGCTGGTTGAGCCACACACATGGACATGGGGGCTGGTGGAGTCATGCACATGGACATTACAAATAATCAATTTACTCTCTCTCTCTCTCTATCAAAGGGTGTATCGTCCTTTAAGGTAATATGGGATAAAATTAAATTACCTAACAGCGTGTTACTGTGTGAATGAATGACTGTGTTGTAAAGCACCTTGGGGGGTTGTAGAACCCTAAGAAGGCGCTCTACAGATCCACAACATTTACCATACAGGGAGTGCAGAATTATTAGGCAAGTTGTATTTTTGAGGATTAATTTTATTATTGAGCAACAACCATGTTCTCAATGAACCCAAAAAACTCATTAATATCAAAGCTGAATGTTTTTGGAAGTGGTTTTTAGTTTGTTTTTAGTTTTAGTTATTTTAGGGGGATATCTGTGTGTGCAGGTGATTATTACTGTGCATAATTATTAGGCAACTTCACAAAAAACAAATATATACCCATTTCAATTATTTATTTTTACCAGTGAAACCAATATAACATCTCCACATTCCCAAATATACATTTCTGACATTCAAAAACAATACAAAAACAAATCGGCGACCAATATAGCCACCTTTCTTTGCAAGGACACTCAAAAGCCTGCCATCCATGGATTCTGTCAGTGTTTTGATCTGTTCACCATCAACATTGCGTGCAGCAGCAACCACAGCCTCCCAGACACTGTTCAGAGAGGTGTACCGTTTTCCCTCCTTGTAAATCTCACATTTGATGATGGACCACAGGTTCTCAATGGGGTTCAGATCAGGTGAACAAGGAGGCCATGTCATTAGTTTATCTTCTTTTATACCATTTCTTGCCAGCCATGCTGTGGAGTACTTGGACGCGTGTGATGGAGCATTGTCCTGCATGAAAATCATGTTTTTCTTGAAGGATGCAGACTTCTTCCTGTACCACTGCTTGAAGGTGGTGTCTTCCAGAAACTGGCAGTAGGACTGGGAGTTGAGCTTGACTCCATCCTCAACCCGAAAAGGCCCCACAAAATGATGATACCAGCCCAAACCAGTACTCCACTTCCACCTTGCTGGCGTCTGAGTCGGACTGGAGCTCTCTGCCCTTTACCAATCCAGCCACGGGCCCATCCATCTGGTCCATCAAGACTCACTCTCATTTCATCAGTCCATAAAACCTTAAAAAATCTGTCTTGAGATATTTCTTGGCCCAGTCTTGACGTTTCAGCTTGTGTGTCTTGTTCAGTGGTGGTCATCTTTCAGCCTTTCTTACCTTGGCCATGTCTCGGAGTATTGCACACCTTGTGCTTTTGGGCACTCCAGTGATGTTGCAGCTCTGAAATATGGCCAAACTGGTGGCAAGTGGCATCCTGGCAGCTGCACGCTTGACTTTTCTCAGTTCATGGGCAGTTATTTTGCGCCTTGGTTTGTCCACACGCTTCTTGCGACCCTGTTGACTATTTTGAATGAAAAGCTTGATTGTTCGATGATCACGCTTCAGAAGCTTTGCAATTTTAAGACTGCTGCATCCCTCTGCAAGATATCTCACCATTTTTGACCTTTCTGAGCCAGTCAAGTCCTTCTTTTGACCCATTTTGCCAAAGGAAAGGAAGTTGCCTAATAATTATGCAGACCTGATATAGGGTGTTGATGTCATTAGACCACACCCCTTCCCATTACAGAGATGCACATCACCCAATATGCTTAATTGGTAGTAGGCTTTCGAGCCTATACAGCTTGGCGTAAGACAACATGCATGAAGAGGATGATGTGGACAAAATACTCATTTGCCTAATAATTCTGCACTCCCTGTATAGCAGAAAAAATCTTAGCTGACTTGTAACAAAGCAGGTGGTAAAATAATTATTTGGGTTTTTATGCAGAACTTAATCAGGTTTTACTAGTAGACCCGTTATGGGACACTGTACTACTACTACTACTACTACTACTACTACTACTTCTACTGTACTCCTACCATTACACTACTCCTACTCCTAATACTACTACTGAAGTACTATAGTGTAAAATAACATTTCTAGTGAGTTTTTGTCATCGTTGTTGAGGATGTGTGACTCAATCCGGAGTTAGAAAACTTGACTTTGGAAAAGGAACCAAACTACAAATCCAAACCCGTGAGTTTATCACCTGAGTCAGAGGTTTATGTCGTTAGTTTTGTTGCAACACCTGAACCAATTAAAACAGAGTTCAGCTTTTGACCCAATTAAGTTTTGCTGTGTTCATCCAGTCCAGCGAGATACCCTGCTGGAAAAACCAGCATAGACCAGCATAGCTGGTAACCAGCAAAGACCAGCAAGGAAGACATGCTGGTCTATGCTGGTTTTTCCAGCAGGGTAAACATCTAACTGTCTTTATTTTTATGATGAAAGAAAACAAAAGTTGACACTTAAAACTTTAAACACTGGCTCTAAAATGGTTTTGTTGCTGAGTTATAGAGAAAAAACTTTATAAAATAAAAGAGACTAAAGAGGAAACACCAGTTTTTATTATTAAAAAATAAAACACATCATTATTCATGATTAAAGCAAAAAAACTCAGAAAAAGAGACAAATATGAATGAAAATTCAGTGATTTTATTCAAGTTATAAACTAAAAAAACCTGCATCAGATTTTAGTTTTAGTGATAAAATATTTAGTTGTGTGTCTGGGGTAGCGTTAGCATGGTTAGCCTTAGTGGGGGTAGCGTTAGCATGGTTAGCCTTAGTGGGGGTAGCGTTAGCATGGTTAGCCTTAGTGGGGTTAGCGTTAGCATGGTTAGACTTATAGTGTGTTCGATTTGTCCTCGGAACTTGGAAATCCCCACCTCCGAGTAGGAAAAATCAAACGAAACGCCTCACATCGGATCTCCCAGTCGGAAACTCAGAAAATTTTCACAACCCCGACTTCAAGATCCAAAATGGCAGCTCTCCGTATCAACAGCAGTAGCTTTGATTAAAATGTGTTTATTTTACAAGACACACTTATAGGAGTGCGTCTAAAATTATTGTTATATGTACCGCCTGCAACTCCAAGCTGAACAATCTAAAAGTGTTGTTTTAGATCATTTTTGCCTTTCTTCGAATATTTTTTGAAGATGAGCTTTATGTGTGCTTATGAGTCGTCTGTGTTCATAGCTAACAAAACAGCAGTTTGAGGGTGGCACCATATTGGAATCCCGACTTCTCTGTCTCCGGCAACCAGAACACTGTTAACTCGGGTGTGACGTCATTCCTAGTTCCAAGTTCTGACTTTCGAGGAACAACGAACACACCCTTAGTGGGGGTAGTGTTAGCATGGCTAGACTTAGTGGGGGGTAATGTTAGCATGGTTAGCCTTAGTGTAGTTAGCCTTAGTGAGGTTAGTGTTAGCATGGTTAGCCTTATTGGGGTTAGTGTAGGCAGGGTGTGGTTTAGCGTTAGCGGGGTTAGTGTTAGCAGGATGTGGTTTAGCATTAACGGGGTTAGTGTTAGCAGGGTGTGGTTTAGCATTAGCGACGTTAGCGTTGGCAGGGTGTGGGTAAGATTTCAGGAACAAAACAAAATTCAATCATGAAATAAAATAAAATAATTATTGATTTGTTTTTTTACATCTTAAACTGATGATCATATTTTAAAACCTAAAGAAAATAAAACTTTTCAGGTTAAAACTCCAGTTCTCCAGAACCTGAAATGGAGGTTCTAGCTCCGGTCACTTATGGAACTACACAAAATGGAGTACAGCTATGTCCAAACTGCGGGGTTCGGGGGCGCTGCCCTAGAGGTTAACTACTGTACATCGTTTAGGATAAAAGCGTCATGCCAAACAAATAAACATAAACATAAACAACTTCCTATGGGAAGAGAAAAAATTCATCATTCTCAAAATTCAGGTGGGGGTCCCCGAGCCATACTTTGGACATGGCTGATGCAGGAGAACCTAACAGAGTGGACTGATATTGATGGTTCTGTGTTGATGGTTCTGTTCCCTCTGTGTGTTTCAGAAGAACAACATAAACCAGAATATTACATTTTGAGGGACAAGGATGACTCCCCTAAGCTGTGTTTGGCGACAGAGTTCACCCGACAGAACGCGACTATGGATCATCGCTTGTTCAATGACACGGAGCCGGCCCGGAATCCTAAAGACCATCGGTTCTTCAGCCAAGTGGCGTTCCTGAAGGATGGAGATGAAACAAGCTGTGAAGGTGATCTGATCAGAGAACAATGAAGTCATTTATATTAAACAGTAAACGATGTTAGGTTTATTTATTTTCTGAAGCTCACCGCGTCTCCATCTGCTGCTGGTTTTCAGAACGCCTGGATGCTCCAACGTGCGAGGCCTCTATGGAACCAGGTATCCGTAGAACCCGACCCAACGGTCGACATTTATTTAAAAGGTTGCTTTTTTTTCCGTTTATAGTGAATTATTTTTGTTTGTTTCAGACACAATGGTAAATCTGGCAACTATCAGCATCTCCATCCTCAGACTGATTTTCATCAAGACCGTCGTCTTCAACGTACTGATGACGCTGCGCCTGTGGATCAGTCAGTGTGAGTATAGAACCTCACAGAACCTCACAGGAGCTTTTTAGGTTCCAATCCTACGGAGTCCTCAGATGGACATAAACCACAGAATCAGCTCACAGCTGAGCTGCTCTTAATAGCAACAGCAGGTTTTCAAAATAAAGCGATCCATCAAAACACTGTGGATGCTCTTACTGTGAACGTTTTGCTGGATATTTTCAGCCCCAAAAAAATCCCGCTTCATAAATATTCAGTTTAAATATAAAAGACGGTTCATGGTGACTTTATTTACGTGCTGGTTTGTAGTGGGCAAGCCGGGGAAAGCTGCAGCGTTGTGGATTTTCTACCAGCTCAGATTGTTTAAAGCTTTTAAAATGGCTGAAAATCAAATCAGCAGAACTTGGTCTAAAACATCAGGTGTGGCGGTTCTGGTTCTGGAGATGACTAACAGAAGACACGACGAAGACAGATTAATAATCTGATGGGACAGAAAAATCCAGGTGAACTGGAGTTGTTTAAACTTCCTGCTGCTGATAAAAATCCTTTTAGACACAAAACTAAAAGTTGTGAATGTCTGGTTTGGAGTTAATGAAACACGAATAATAATGATAACATTTCAGCCACACAACAAAAACCCTCTAGTAACAGTTTTATTTTCTCATAAAAAGATTTTATTCTGGTTTTATTTGATCTTTATTCAAAGTTTTGTGTCTGAATAAAATTTTTGAATTCTTGTATCCTGTTTTGTCTTTTAGAAACTCGTGGGAACGTCAGAAACTCCACGGCTACACTTCCTGCTGACGGCCCACGTTCGTTCCTGTACAAAAACATGCTCGTTGTTCTCTTGCACATTTGTTTACATGTACACACCTGACATGATGTTTACCACTTCTGTGTGACCAATAAAAACCCAGAAACGGACCCAGTGAGAGTTTGTTGTCTTTCATCATCAGACCCAGAAACAAACTCAAAAGTTCTGAGTCAGTCGGATCAGCTGAGACTAGCTGGAGCTGGTTGAGTGTAGGTGGTGTCATCAGGTCCCACAGAACCAACGGCACTAGAACCTGATCCTAGAACGTTGAGGTCTGGCTCTGTTGGTTCTGACCCGTGACCCTGGTTCTGCACCCAGAATCAGACCTGACCAGAAATCTGAAAACCAGCAGAATCTCAACTCAGGTCCAAGTCATGAGGTGGAAGGAGTCTGACCTGATACAAGCAAGTCCCGCCCACTTTATGATAAACAGGAAGTGGCTCATCTTCCCGACCGGTGATCATTTAAAATATTTCTGTTTTGCTGTAAAAGACACACACACACACACACACACACACACGCACGCACGCACGCACGCACGCACGCACGCACACACACACACACACACACACGACCAGAATTTTCTAACTCGGAGGTTTTGCAGATGTTTTGATGTCACTCATCCTTTTTCTGTTTGAGTCAACCTTTCAGAACCTGGGCGGTTCTCACGGTTCTGATGTTCACGTCCTGTCTGTTAAATTCTATGATCTGAAGTTTGTTTGAGGTTCATTAATCTAGTTTGGTGTTTCTGACATCTGTAACTAGTGGCTCTTAAGCATATGGGTCAGTCACCAAGGTGACTGACTGCTGGCTGAACTTCACTCCTACTGGTTACCTGCACGAGTAAAGATCTGTCTGTAGCTCTTGTTACTGCCGCAGTGTGTGTTTGTGTGTGTGTGTGAGCGGAGGTTGAAAACACACACGGCAGTGAGAGAACAGGGAGCAAATTAATAAAATAATGTGGTTTAGAGTCTCCAAAAGCAACACAGCTCACACACTACTTTGTTTATCTAAATACGGACACCGCAGACGTTCCCACACATCCTAAACTCTGCCCACCTGCTCGGGGATTTCCTCATTCCTGGGAAGTTCTTCGGATCTAAATCTGAACACTGCACTGGTCGTATGAGACAGAACTGATGCTATCCTCCCCGACCATACGTCATTAGAGATCTTATGAAATCATAAATGTTAAATGGCTTGTATGTATAGCTTCGTAGGGTTCTACAACCCCCCAAGGTGCTTCACAACACAATCAGTCATTCACCCATTCACATGCTGGTGGTGATGAGCTACCATATAGCCACAGCTGCCCTGGGGCGCACTGACAGAGGCGAGGCCTGCCTGACACTGGACCCTCCGAACACCACCAGCAGGCGAGGTGGGTTACGTGTCTTGCCCAAGGACACAACAGCAGCTTTCTCTGGTGGGAGCCGGAATTGAACCTGCAACTTTCCAATTACTGGACAAGCCGCTCTACTTCATGAGCTTCTGCTTTCCCCATAAATAAAATGGTGTCAGAATCTGATGACATCATCGCTGGCTACACGGCTCGCTAACATTCAGCTGGTTTCTCAGGTTAATCAGGTCACACTCGACCAGATCTGATCAGTTATCGGAGTTTCTGATCAGCAGAAACCAGAAGGAGCTGGATGTCTCGGTGGCTTCCTGTTTCTCTGCAAGCAGCAAAGAGGAAACTATTCATGTGTTCATGTGCAGTAAAGCTTCAGGATTTGGGAGGACCCATTTCAGGTTCAGGGAGCAGAACAAAGCTTGTTATTGGCTGAATTCACATGTATTATCATGAAAGGTTTTCCCACCAAACACACCTGTGTGGGTTTAGGTTGTCCGACTGTTCGTATGACACCATGTTGATGCTCAGCATGCAGCTCTTCCATTTTCGTCCATCTTTGCTCTCAGCATTAAAGCCATGTGTGGCAAGGTGGAGAAATGAGGGCCCGGGCGGGATTCGATCCCCAGACTCCCGGGTGAGAGTCATACGCTCTAACCAGTCAGCCAAAGGGACATCCCCTTGGCCAAGTAGCCAGGGCGCATGATCAATCGGGACACTGTGACAGGATGCTCACACTGTCACACATGTAATAGTCTTGGTCTCAAGGCCATATTTAAATGTTCTTGATATTGCCTTGGTAACGAGGCCATTTTCACTCAGACTTGTCTCGGTCACGGACTGGGCGGTCTGGTTTATTTTCGTTAACAAGAACGGTCGAGACCATTGCTGATAGGGTGGTGCACTGCAGCGCCAGACTGACACGACCCCTGTGTTAAACTCTTCTTAAATCGTAGCTTTCATGGAACAAAACTGGACCCTTGATGGGTTTACTGGTGGAGTTTTAGGTGTGTCTGGTTACTACACAAGGCTCAGGCTTGGCATGACATCATTTCGGTTGTTAATTCAACTGTTGGCCTTGTCTCGGTCTTGGTTCTCTCTGGTCTTGGTAATGTCTTGGTCTCGGGTAGTGTGGTCTTTACTACAACTCTACTCTACTTGTTTTTGAACTAAACATCTGTGAGGTTTTAGATATCTACAAAATGATGTCTGTATTTATAAGGCAAGGCAGCTTTATTTCTAGAGCACATTTCAAACACAGAGGCAATTCAATGTGCTTTACAATTATCAGGACATGATGTGAAAACACATAAAAACACAAACGAAAATACACACAGATAGAATTACAGTTTAGAGCTAAAGGAGAAGACAAAGTTACATCACAAATTACAGAGGAGACGATGCAGCATAAGAAACCATTCATGTAAAGGCTGATGAGTACATAAGGGTTTTAAGTTTTAAACAACACTAGGGTTGGGGCAGATCTGAGGTCATGGGGAAGCTGATTCCATATGTGAGCAGCATAGTAACTAAATGCATCTCCACCATGTTTGGTTCTGACCCGAGGTTCTACCAGCTGATTGTTTCTTCTCAGAGCCCTATTGGGTGTTTATACAGGAATGAGGTCGGACATGTATTTTGGTCCCATGCCATTGAGTGGTTTATGAACTAGTAGGAGCACTTTGAAGTCTATTCTGTAGATAATCTTTATTGACAGACTCTAAGGCCCAGATAATATATATATAAAACAACAAAACATTAAAAACAATTAATGAAACAAAGTAGGTAAAAACAAATAGAACAAATAAAAAAGATAAAAGCATACAATTAAATAAAAATCTAAATCTAATTTAAAAACATACTATAAAGATGTTCCACACAATTAAGAGTAACCACACAAACACTTCAACCAGTGTTTCCTTATACAGGACAAATAGCAACAACTGCTCACAGCAGGATCAGTGATGGCTAAAATTATACTGTTGGCAGAGCTATCCAGTCGTTCTCTAAAAGTGAATATTAGTTTTCTTAAAAGAGCTTTAAAAGTGCAAATGCCTTCTGTTACAAACATCTGACTGGCACTGTCCCCTCTGGGTATTTTGAGTATGATTCTTAAGGCATCATTGTATGCAACATGCAGCTTATTCATGCTGCTTTGATTGTAGGATGACTACAGCTGGGCTGTATAAAGCAGAGTACAGTATGCTTTAAATAAAGCCACCTTAACTGGAGGTGAACAAAAACTACACTTACGTACTATAGTATTGGCCTGTGAACAGCTTACAGCACTGTCTATGGATGTCAGCATCATCACGCATTTGATCAGTTATAAAGTGGCCAAGGTATTTCACCTTCTCACACACATTAACATCACTATTAGACAGTTTGAACACAGGAAAGTTGAGCTTTTTATCTGCTTGGTTCTACATATCAAGATAACACTTTTAAGAGCATTATACTGGATATCATACTGCACACCATGTTCAGAACAGATATTTAGGAGCTGCTGTAAACCAGCACTACTTGGACTGAAGACCACCAGGTCATCAGCATACATCAGATGGTTGATCAGAGTTTTACCCATCAAACATCCTGTGTTACAGGCTCTCAGCTGCATTGACAGATCATCAACATACAAATTAAACAAAACAGGAGACAAAATTCCACCCTGCCTGACCCCATTACTAACACCAAATGGTGCAGAGATGCTGCCACCCCATTTAACCTGCATCGTCTGATGAGCATACCAGTAAGACAGGATCCTCACAATAAACCCAGGGACCCCCCATAGCTTTAACTTAATAAAAAGTTTTCTGTGGTTGACACAATCAAAAGCCTTAGAAGCATCAATAAAACACATAAGGATAGAAGAATTTCTATTTCAATACCAGTTTACCATTTCTTTAAGTGCGTATATACACATGTCAGTACCATGTTTTGGTTTAAAGCCAAACTGATTATCCAAGGAACTGAGGTACACAGTGATTCTGTCAAATATGATTCTTTCTAAAACTTTAGATAAAACACTGGCTAGTGCAATCGGCCTATAATTACCCATACTGATCACCTTCCCAGATTTGTTCTTAATAACTGGGACAAGCAGAATTGCCATAATTGAGTCTGGTAGTATGCCATGAATCATAAACCCTGTAAAACAAAGAGCTAAAAGGGGAGCTAGTAATTGGCTAGCATATTTCAAATGTTCTGCACTAATGTGATCCAGACCACAAGCCTTATCATCAGCTAGTTTGTGAATAGCATCATGCACCTCATGGGTCGTTACACATATAGATTCATCGTTAATTACAGAACCATCCTCATGCTGGTCACTTTTTAAACAATTGAACAATGCATAATAATGATGTCTCCATAATGCTGCAATATTATCTTCCCCAGAAACACCTTCAACAGTACCTGGTAGAGATGATTTGCAATTATTAATTGTTTTTACATCTTTCCAAAAACCTTTGACATCATTACTCATAAATTTCCTGGCCATAGAATCTGCCCTCATGATCAGCTCATTGTTTGATATAAAACGAACAGCATACTTATATCTGGCATTTGCACGTTTTTCTGTTCAAATTCCAGACCTTGCCTAGGTCTCCCAATCATATCCCAAAGTTTAAAAGCTACCCGTGCTTCATCCTGATACATGGCAACATGTTCTTTCCAGCCAGGCCTGATAGGAGGTTTCTGCTTATTCTTACCTTTGACATGAAATGGCTTACCACTTTCATACAAAGCACCCACTATATC